TGGGCCAACCTCACTATTTTTACCATGCTTGAGCCCATTGATGCTGCCACTTTGCCAATCTATCTTGCTGGGGGTCTTTTTCTCTGACCCTCCGTCTTACCAAACATGATATCCTTCTCCAGCGACTGGTCCCTCCTGACAATATGTCCCAAATACGAGAGATGAAGTTTGGTCATGCTGGCTTCCAAGGAACACTCTGGCTGCATTTCTTCCAACACAGATCTGTTGGTTCTTTTGGCAGCCCATGGCACTTTCAATATTCTCCTCCAACACCATAACTCAAAAGCATCAATTCTTCTACAGTCTTCCTTATTCACGGTCCAGCTTTCATATGCATATGACATTATTGAAAATACCATGGCTTGGGTCAGGCACACCTTAGTCCTCAAGCTGACATCTTTGCTCTTCAAAAGGTCTTGTGCAGCAGATTTTCCTAATGCAAAACTTCGTTTGATTTCTTGACTGCTGCTTCCATAAGCTGTTCTTTACACAGCCATACTGAAGGTTGTGCTCTTTGATCTTCATCAGTAAATGTTTTAAGTCCTCTTCACTTTCAGTAAGTAACGTTGTATCATCTGCATATCACAGGTTATTAATTAGTCTTCCCCTTATCCTGATGCCACATTTTGGTGGCATATAAATTGTCTGCTAAAAATGGCTGCAAACACTAATCTCACTGACAGCAAACAAGACTAATATGAGGTAGGTCTGTGGAGTCTGGAGATCTGTGTCCTGAGGCTCATTCCCTCCTTTGTTTTTAAATACCCCAGGACTGACACATTGGGATCTGCCTCAGACCCTTTGTAATGCATATCACCAGTAGGCATGGCTGATGCCCTAGGGAAACCTGAACACAGATCAAAATCCCTGGTCACCAGAGCAGAATATTCATTCTAAAAGGAAGATAAGAAAATGAACAGTAAGTGGCACCGAAGCAGAAATATCAGTCATACTCATGCAAAGAAATACTATACAGCAATGAAAATGAACAAACACAACCACTGTTGTTGTGAGGTGCTGTTCAGTTGACTCTGATTCATATATACCCCATGTGACAGAGTACAACTGCTCCATAGTGTGTTTTAGGTAATCTTAAGAAGCAGATCTGCAAGTCTTACTCCAGAGCAGTTGCTGGATGAATTCAAACAGTGAACCTTCCAGTTAACAGTCCAGTGCTTAATATTTGGTCCACCAGAGTTCCTTAACTAACACTGAAACATGGATAAAGCTAATAATTTTGAGAAATAGAAGGGAGACACAAAAGAAAATATGTCATTTAAAAAATTATAGAGAGTTCAGAAAGCAGCCTTCAGTGGTAAAACTATCTGTATGTAAAGATAATAAAAAGAGAGTCATATCATGCACTTTGATATAGTGGCAGTCTTGAGAAAAGAAGGTAGTAATTGGAGGGGGTTCTGATGATGTTTGATTCCTTGATATTGGTGATGGTTATGGCCGTCAGAGAGAATTGATTGAGTTGTATATTTTGGGGTTGCTCAGTCTATTTCAAAATAAAAAAAAAGAAATTTAAACTCTCATAAGTGCTGGTGGGTATGCAAAATGGTGCAGCCACTATAAAAAATAGTTTTGGTGTTCCTTGAAAAGTGAAGTGTTAAATTATGATTTTCTTGCTGTTAAGTGCCGTTGAGTTGGTTCTGACACACAGTGACCCTATATAGGGTTTCCAAGTTACTGTTGGTGGGTTTGAACCTTAGACCTTGAAGTTAGCAGTCCATTGCTTATCCTACAGTGCCATACCAGGACTCCAGAATTATGATACGACCCACAATTTCACTCCTGGGCTTATACAACAAAAACTGAAAACAGTGACTTTAAGAGATAATTAATTATATGTGAATACTCATAGCAACACTATTTTTACAATAGCCAAAAGATGAGAGCAATCTCTGTCCATCAGTAGATCAATGAATAAACATAGTGTAGTACACACCAGACAATAACATCATTCAGTTACCAACAGCAATGAAGTTCTGATACATACAACCAAATCCATGAACCTTGAAAACATAATGCTGAATGAAGCCAGTCAAGCACAAAGGTCAAATATTGTATGACATGGCTTCCATGAAATATATCCAGAATAGGCAAATTGATAGAGAGAGAAAGTAGATTAGAGGCTGTCAGGAGCTCAGGGGAATGGTTTCTTTAACGGGTATAGTTTCTATTTAGAATGATGAAAAATTTTGGAACTAAATAGTGGTGATGGTTGCACAATCATGTGAATGTAATTAACGCTGTTGAATTGCGTACAAGAAAATAATTACAGTGGAAAAAAAGAACATGGGGCAAACTAAATGGACATTTTGTAAGAATGCACACAAATGAGAGCACACCGTAGTTGTTTGAGTGGGGAATGGTACAAGAATGAAGATCAGAGACAAATAAGTAAACAAGAGAGGAATCTTTCAACAGATCAATGATATTTAAATTCCAGGAAATGGAGATTATGAATGGCTCAGCCTTTGATCTTGAGAATCAAAAATGAAACAAAAGAAAAATGTTTTATAAAAGTTAAAAATAATTTTAGCGTATGTGGACAAGATATAAAATTCAAAATTCCAATAGGGCTTAAGTGAAAATGTCTCTTTTTCCCCATTACTCCAAGGTTCCCCAGCTTTTCCACCTACAGATATTTCAGTCTCCTTGCTTTCTTGTGTATCTATCATTGAACCATACAGTCGATTTTGACTCATAATGATGCTATATAAGTTTCCCCAAACTGAAAATATTGATGAGCTTACAGTTTCATCTTTCTCCTGAGGAGTGACTGGTGGGTTTGAACCATTGACTGGAGAGTTATTAGCCCAATGCTTAAACCAGAGTGCCACCAGGGCTCCCTGAAGGCTTTTTGTTGTTGTTCATTGCTGTCTCATAACGACCCTGTATAGGGTTTCCAAGGGGCTGCTGGTGAGTTTAAACTGCAGACCTTGCGGTTCAAACCAACCTTGCAGTCCAGTGCTTTTACCCACTGTGCTATACCAGGCCTTTTTAGTAGGGTTGAAATGGATTCAAACAGTGAATCCATAAAGTTGTGGAGTTGTGGAAATATGGGTATAGAAGATAGATACAGGGAGGTCAACTGGAGCTTGGTGGGTCACTCTGAGTACCAGGTCTGGCCAGCGGTGTCATGTGCAGGGCAGTGGTGGGGATGACTTCCTGGCCCCTAGTGGAAAGTTTTAATGGGAGCAGAGAACACACAGAAAAAGCACCTCAGTGAGTCAGCAGGGTGGCTCCTTAGAGTGTCTCTATGGACCCTCCTTCTGAACTTTAGCTTCCTGTTTCTTGAACATAGACCTGCCCTTCTGCAGCAGTTAGGAACATGTCAGAGTTGGGGCATCCCCTAGATGCCGATACAGGTTGTTTTTCATCAAGGGAGGAGGAAGTCTTGAAGAAATCATAGAAAGGAACCAGTCATGCTACTGGGAGGCAGTGTGGCCCAATCCTTCATGTCCAGGCTCATCCCACGGAGGCCCCACACCATTCTATCAAGGTGGTGTTCTTCCTGGGGGAACCCTGGCCTCTTAGGGGGCTATAATGTGAAGGTCAGGAGTGGAGACTCCACATCAGGGTTCCTGGGTTCTGGCTCCATGTCTCCCACACCATGTCTCCCTGGTCTGTCACCTGTGGGTGCTGACTTCAGTCGACTTCTTGGGACTTCTTCAAGGGTTTGATGGGAAGGTGGAAGTGGAATGATCTTGTCTTCTTCTTGAACTTTGAGAGCCTTTGGGGACCTGACGTGACCCAAAATTCTTGGCTGAGGGTTAAGAGGAAGCTTTGGATTCAGTCTGATCCAGGTTCATGTCTTGACTGTGCTGTGTACTAGCTGCGGAATCTCATGTCTTTAATATGCTGCTAACTCAATGATAGTATCAATGTCCAATGGCATTGATGAGGGTACGTGAGGCAGGGTATGCGTAGTGTGTTGCCTAGCACAGAGTGAGTGGAGGTAGTAGGTCAATAAGCCATCAGTCCAGGTTTGTTGAAGGACAGGGTGAGTGAATCCCCAGAGATGTGCTACAGTGAAGGGTCCTAACTTTTATCCCTTTTAGTGTCCAGCAATCAGATTCTTTCTACCCCTTCACTGTCAAATAAGACACAACCCACTGAGCACAGCTCATTTGGCTTGAGGGAGGAGGCTCTAGGTGACGTCACCTAAGAAGTGCACTTACTGGTAGCCCTGGATGCTGATGGGAAATGATGGGCATATCCTCTAAGATGTGCCCATCAACCCACATGGGGCAGGGCTGCAAGAAACTGACAACACACACAGCCCCAGGGCTCCCAGCCCTAAAGAGCCAGGCAAAGTCCTATAAAAGGCCTGCTCTGTGCCCAGATGCACAGTCATCTCAGCTTCTCCTCCGTGATCATCCTCAGCTCTGGTAAGTCTGTACCTGCCTCTGTGCTTTTTTAGGAGCAGTGACCAGGGTTACCTGCTCTGCTGCCAGCAGGAGCAGGGAAAGCCACTGTTGGGAGTTTGGGTTCTAGTTCTGGCTCTGCCATTCTGTGGCTGTGCGAGCTTCACCCCAAGACTTAGGGATCTCATCTGTTCCTATTTGTCCTTTTGAGTCTTTCATTTGGTGTTTCTCTGAGAAATCTCAGGGAACATCTCTCCAGTGGAGCTGAGAACAGGATCCTTCTTTTCCTTCTTCAATTTGCTTAATGGTCAGACTCTGGGCTCATGAAGACCCACTGTCCATCCCACCTCCAAGGGAGGATAAGGCTAAGGGTCACTCACGTGTGAATGATGTGAAGGCTCTCCTGACACTAGATTGGGTCCCAAACTCACCATTTTCCTGTGAGATGACCTGTCCCCACCAAGGCAAGAAAATCCACCACATAAGGAATCACAAATTCCTTTGCACCCCCAGCCCTATCCTCACTTAATCCTTAGCACCCAACCATCATCTAATTTGGATGCCCCTGTGTGTTGGGGATCAAGCTCATTATCTTTTTTCTCTGCAGCCCTTTTGAAAGCAAAGATGAGCCCCACTAAAGCTGAAAAGTGCATGGTGGATCTGGTCACGCTATTTCATAAATACGTCAAAACTGATGATGCAATTGACAAGACCAACCTGAACCTGTTGATGAAGGAGAACTTCCCCAACTTCCTCAGTGCCTGTGTGAGTGGGGTCTAGATGGTCAGTGTTGGTGGGTACCGTGGACTGGCTGAGGATCCATTACCCTGTATAACCTTGAGCAAGCCACTGTCATTCTCTGATCCTCAATTTTTACATCTACAGAAAGAGGAAAATAGAATATTATTTCTTGGGCTAGTATGAGGATTTACACACATGCAATATGTGAAAATACTGAAAATAAGAAAGAATTGGGTCAGTATAAAGAGCTGTTAGATGATCAACACAATACTGCCTTTTGAGGGCAGTGAGTAGGTCCTTACCCCTTGATCGTCATGAGTTCATGCCCCATCTTTTCAAGGCTTCTGTGAAAGTTCCTGGGGTTAGAAGGAAGGTAATAGAAATGTCATTACTAGTAGGAATGAAAATACCTGTTTACAACTAAGAAATCTCATTCACAAAGCTGATTTAAGTTGGCTACTGGAATACACTGAACTGAATACCACCAAGAGTTGGTGCGTAGATAACACAGCCATGAGAAGACCAAGAACAGGAGCTTAGAACAGATTAGTGTTGATGGAACGTAAAGGGAGGGAGGGTTAAAGAACAAAGAATACAAAGCATTAGAGTTCATTTTGAGTTCCTGGGGAAGAACAGAGATAGATGATGCCTTAAAGAGGTGCGTGGACACCTGAGGCCAGAGGCCGCCTCTTACTCAGAACTCCCTCTCCCAGGCATCTTCAGGGAATCAACCTCTGTGATTACACATCCACACTGATCTTTGTGCAAGGATCACCCTCAGAGATCCTCAGGGGTGATGCTAACATCCCACCCTGTCTTTGCTCATTGGCCCTCTGGTTACAGGCCTCACCAGCTGCCCCTCACCTGTCTCTGCCTTCTTCTCTGTTGCCATCCCAGAACATGCCTTTGACAGAGGTTTTTGCTTTGTGTCTCCTTCCCACAGGACAAGAGTGGCAAAGATTACTTGGCCAATCTCTTTGAGAAAAAGGACAAGGATGGGGATAAGAAGATCCAGTTTTCTGAGTTTCTGTCCACACTGGGAGACATAGCTACAGACTATCATGAGCAAAGCCACGGAGCAAAGCCCTGTGCTGGGGGCAACCAGTGAACCTAGTCCAGCCAACAGCATCCAGAGATCCCTTCAACAACAATAAATGATTCCTTTCATTTTACATTAGTGTTATTCTTTCTTGTTTATGTTGTCAAACAATCAATTGCTTATTAGCTTTACTAAAGACAATAACTGTTCACTGTCAGGATTCACCAAGAATATGCTAGCATTTTCCCTTCATTGTGGCTTCTAGTATAGCCTTCCCCACTGTTTCAGAAGGACCTGTGTTCGCCTCTGTTGCAGCCACCATACCTGGTTTGAGAAGTGGAGTCTGGTGCAGAACCTTCTGTCCAGTTACACTGAGCCTCTTCCTCCAGATCTGGGAAATGTTAGAGACAAGTAGCAGATGTCTCCACACCTAGTGTTTATTCCCACTTACTCTAGCCAGGCTCTTCCTCTAGGGCAGGGGTGGAGAACCTTGTCTGTTAGAATGTAATATGATTTGCAGGCCATACAAAATAATCAACTTAAAAATTAGCCTGCTATATATTTGGTCAAACATTTAATGAACTCACCCCTAATGTGATGAATGGAGTCCTGGTGTGGCACTGTGGGCTAATGCGCTGGACTGCAATGTCAGTGTGAACCACAAGGTCGGCGGTTTAAGTTGCTCCTCGGAAACCCTATACAGGGTCACTGTGGGTTGGAACCAATTTGACGGCACTTATCAACAACAACAACAACAACAACAGTGTGATGGCTGGAATACGGTTGCCTTGGCAGGGCCAGACCAAATGATTTCATGGGCTTTATATGGTTGGACATTTCCCACCCCTGCTCTAGGGTGTGGAAGAGACTGGCCATAACTCACAGAGCTTCTTCAAAGGGCACCGAAGTCAGAGTGGCCCTGCTTGTTGTGAATATGAGGAGCAGCAGTGTCCTCAATACTAGATTCCCCTTCTGTGTCCTGGGCTTCTGGGGATGTGTCATTGTCCCTGTGATGTGTGCTTGTGTGTGGAAGTGGACAGAAGGGCATCCTGGCTGCTGAGTTGAGCCTCTATGATGGTTTCCAAAATGCCAGGAACTGGGTGTCTGAGGAAGCCCAGAGAGTGGCAAATATTCCAGGTTTAGAGGGTCTCAATGTTAATTTGGAACCCTCATGATATAGTGGCTAAGCACTTCATGGAAAGGTTGGTGGTTCAAACCCACCAGATTCTCCATAGGAGAGTGATTGCTAGGACACTTTATAGGGTAGTTCCACTTTGTCCTTGTAGGGTCTTTACAAGTTGGAATTGACTCAACGACATACAACAACAACCATGCTGGTCTGGGATCCAGACAGCCTAGAGCCACCAGGATAGAGCCAGAACATGAAGAGCTCATTAAGTCTGAGAGGGAGTGCTTATAAGTGTGATGAAGAAATTATAGCCTATTATGTACCTGGTGAAAAGGGCATGTTTCTACTCCAGGGTTGGTGATCTGCTGGACACTAAAGATGTGGGCCCAGAGGCTGACTTAGCAGTGTTGAATTTCCTAGAGTGATTTTTGTCAGAGGGGTCATCATTGACCTGGTAGAACTTCCAGGCCATGTCCCCTGAACCTCCTTTGATTTCCTATCATCTGGCCATATCACTCCTATGCTCCTGGTCACTTTCTCCTACTAACCTCATAATTGAATATACACTCTTCTTAGAGGAATTAGGTAACGCTTTCCCGAGTTCCCCCTCAATCACACCAGCATAAAACCCACAGAATGAGTTATCTGACTATGTCAATGACCCGTGTCCACTTTTTACTCTTCACCATTCCTTGAGCAACTCATTCCCATCCTCTCCACTCCACTAAGATTCATCTTTTTTTCTGAGCATTCAGCACCTTGTTGTCACTCAGTACTGTGCCGATGTTTTCAACTTGCATACTCTGTTCTCTGACCACTTGCCTCCCTCTCTCGTTCTCCCTCCCTCATTCTCATTCACGTGCTGCTTAGAGTCATCAACACCTACTGTCCCTGGACTGTATATTATCTCTCCTTTTAGCCCCTAAAAGGACCTCTGGTAATGTAGTGGCTATGAGTTGGGTTGCTAACCTTAAGGTCAGCAGCTCGAAAGTACCAGCAGTTCCATGGGAGAAAGATGAGGCTCTCAGAAACCCTATACAGGGTTACTACGAATCTGAATCGACTCCATGGCACATAACCACCACCACCATTAGCCCCTATTGCTTCCTCTATGTAGCTGACACTTCATGATCCACTCTCTCACCTACTCTCACATCTCTCTCCCTCTTCCTTTGGGCCATACCTTCCCTACAACTCTCCAACACTGAACCAGGCCCATCATTTCTCTGTTCTCCTTGTGCACCAGGATCTGATAATTGCTAGTAAACTTCCTGTCTGGTCTCATAACTGCTGGTCTCCTCAGAAATTCAATTACTGGTGGCTCTAGATGCTGATGGGAAATGCTGATCCCAGCCTCCAAGGTGAGCTTACCCACTTGTGCACAGAATCCCAGGGTTCCTGACTGCAGATCATTGCTGAGCTTCATAAAGGATCCAGATTCACAGTCTCCTTCATTCTCTCCTCTGTGATCCTTAGCTCTGGTACCTGCCTCTGTGCTTCTTAGGAGCCCTGCCCAGTGCCCACCTGTTCTGCTGCCTTCAGGAGCTGTGAGTGAGGGTTGGGAAGCATGGGATCTAGCCCTGGCTCTGCCACTATGATGCTGTGTAACCTGAGATTTCTCATTTGTCCTTGTTGTTCCTTTGGGTTCTTCCACTTTGTGTTTCTATGCAAACTCTTGGGGGGAAATGTTTCTAAATGGAACTGAGGCCAGGACCCTCCCTCTCCTTATCTTCTTTTCTCCTGCATTCACCTGCCTGCCAGTATGTGGGTTCATGAAGAATGATTTTTTACCTCAGTGTCCTGGGGAGAGTAGGCTAAGGGTCACCTATGTATTCTTTGAAGTTTCTCCTGATACCCAGATTTGGGAATCTCACTCACCATTACTCTAGTGAGATGGTCTGTCCTGACCTGGGAAAGGTAGTCATCAACCAAAGCTTACTTTCTCTCACTGCTTTCCAATGAATTCCCAGTGACCCTCTGGTCACAGGACTTAGCACCTGGTCTTGGCCATGACTGATATAACTTGGGTGGCTTCTCTTAGAAAATTACCAGCACAAAGCTCTCTGAACTATGTGGGACAGTGATGATTGCTTGGTATTAGCTGCCGACATTCATGGATCAAGGTTGTTTCTAGGATGTTCTAGAATGTCTGGGATGGGAGAGTTGCATAGTCTAAATTTTCTGGCTTTCGATTCAGTGTAGACCTCTGACTGTTGGAAGAAGACCCTGCCTCAAGAGTCAGACCACCCCTTTATTTAAACATTCTTAAGCCCTGCATGTCCAAGAGAAGAGAATAAAGGACAGATGATCTCCAATTGCAGACAGGACCCCTCATTTCTACCCTCCATTCAACAATAATGGGTTACTCACCTGTCAATTTGTCATGTTGTGGTTGCTTGTGTGTTACTGTGGTTCTGGCAGTTATGCCACAGGTATTTAAATACCAGCAGGATCAGCCATGGTAGACAAATTTCAACATAGCTTTCAGACTAAGACAGATCAGGAAGAAGGAGAGGAGGACTGCTTTTTAACGGTTAGCCACTGAAAATCTCATGAATATCAGCAGAAACTTGTTTGTTATAGTGCCAGAAGATGAGCCCTTCAGGTTAGAAGGCACTCAAAACACAGCTACCTCTTCAAAGTAGAGTAGACCTTAATGACCGGAATGGAGCCAAGCTTTGGGAATCTCATTAACTGATGTTTTTGTTCTTGTTAGATGCCATTGAGTCGGTACAGATTCATAGCGAACTTATGCACAGCAGAACGGAACACTGTCCAGTCCTTGGCCAACCTGACAATTGTTACCACACTTGAGTCCATTGATACTGCCACTTTGACAATCCATCTTGGAAGGGTGTGTTCCTTTGTTTCTCTGACCCTTTACCTTACCAAACAGGATATCCTTCTCCAGTGACTTGTCCCTCCTGACAATATGTCTGACGTATGAGAGATGGTGTTTGGCTATCTTGTTCTCCAATGAGCACTCTGCCTGCAGAGATCTGTTGGTTCTTTTGTCAGCCCCTGGAACTTTCAATATTCTCCTCCAACACCATAACTCAAGAGCATCAATTCTTCTACGGTCTTCCTTATTCACTGTCCAGCTTTCACATGCATATGAGGTTATTGAAAATACCATGGCTTGGGTCAGGC